GAGGACGGTTATGAACAAAAATTGAAAGTAGAGGAACAACAATTGGCATTAACCCTCAAAATACCAATGCTCCTGAAAACTTATCTTTTGTACATCAATTGTCATCATTAATAGAAATATTTTGAGTCAATTTCTTTTCTTTTCTTTTCTTTTCTTTTAACATATGATAATAAGTTATACAATAGTGAACAACTATTCATTTTCCCAAATCTCCTCCCACTCGATTTAAAATTCAAATTTGAAATTTTCAACTTAAAATCTCATGCACGTTTCAAATCAATTTCAAGAAAGTATAAAACTAACATTCTTAAAGGATGTTTGAATTAACTATTTGGATATAGTTAATGATTAATAAGTGATATCAAATGGTTGATAATTGTTATTCTTTACAATTTAAAGTATTTAATCTATTTGATTAGAGTAAAAGCTAATAGATATTATAAAACATCAAAATGAACACCCTATGGTTGCTTAGTAAGTCCTTTTTTTTTCTTATTTCTTTTTCAATAAGTAAAAAGTCATTTTATTTATTTTTTTAGCAGGTACAGTAAAAAGTCATTTTATTAATTTGGATTGTAAAGAGTATTCTTACTTATTAGATAACTAGAGAAAGTGGGCTCATCAAGAACTTTAGGATTTGGTCCATATCCCCTACCATTGTAGCTAAAGGAAGCTTTCTTAGCCTTCTCCCTTATCCAACTAAAGGACTTTAATTGCACGAGCTCAAACGTCCTGTCTTCATCCCAAGACAAACTATTAAAAATATTTTCATTTCTTATCATCCAGATGTACCAAGGAATGTGCAAGAACAATAACTGATTAACCCATGACTCAGAAAATTTAAACTTTCTCAATTATACTGCTATTAAATACTAAATTATAATTTAATAACAAATTAATTATAATGCTGTAAATAAAACTATAACTATCTTTTTATAATAAAATAAATATAAAAATTACTAAAAATAATAAAATATATCTTTATATATTAATTTTTTCAAAAGTCTTAGGGGGCCATGGCCACCTAACCCAAGGATCCTTTGTCCTTGATTTTATTATTGTTTTTTTAGGTGTAAATAAATATGTATTTATTTATTTAGTGTTATATCATATTTTAAAAAATATAAAAGAAAATTAAAGCATGAAAAGAGAGAAGACAAAAGTATATTGAAAGAAAGGCATAATTTTTATTATTTAGAGATGAAGAATAAGAAGCCTTCATATAGAATTTGAGGTGAACTCTAAATACAATTCATCATATTACTACTATAATTAACTCAATCAATCACTTAATATAATTGATTCCATATCTCTTAAAATCTCAAATATCCCCCTCAAACTCAAGATGGTTTTATCAATTAGAGTTTGAAAATTCTAGAAAATAAACCAAATCTCGAGCATGATCCTTCTTGAAAGTTTTTTTTTTTTTTTTATTATTGTTCAGCCTTCTTGAAAGTATCTTGAAGATAGAAGATAGAACATCTAGGCAACTAGTTTGGAGTAGAAAAATAGATCAAACTTGAAGAACATCTGAGAATGGAAAATAAGATTGATAAGGCGGGAGAAGTTGCAAGCTTGCAACAGCAAACAACATGTGCAAAGAAAGCTGAAGGAAATCACGCGCCTTGAAGGCTAAAAATGCACAATACAATATAGATTAAATGTCAATTTTGATCCCTCAACTTTCAAATTTTGCACAATTTTCAAATTCATCCCTTAATTTTTTTATACACTTTTTTTGTTCATTAACTATGAAAAATACATTTTTAAATATTTTTGTCAATTAAACCGTTAGGTTTATCCAAATATGCAAATTTTTAGTCTCTCAACTTTTAATATTTGCATATATTTTGTCCCTTAACTTATTAAAAATGTGCATATTTAGATAGATTTAATAGACTAATTAATGAAAAGATTAAAAAAGTTTTTTTTTTTTTTTTCAGCTGAAGAACAAAAAAAGTGCATAAAATGTTAAGGAAAGAAAACTGTGAAAACTCTAAAGTTGAGGGAGATCAAAATTGGCATTTAACTTACATTATAAAACTAAGTGATAGATTTAATAGATGTGAATATTAGAAAGGAAATCATTGAAGATGGATATTGTTTAAGCTAAAGAGTGAAAGGCAAAGCAAAATTTTTACTTAAAGAAACAATCTTTGCTTTAGGGAAGCATATCAAAGCTCAAAATTAATGGCATAACTAAGGAATAGGTGACATTTAAAATTTTGAAGTGATAAACTTCACTCGCATAGATTAATAATAAAACCAAGAAGGGGGTAATATTTAGAATTTAAAAAACCAAAGAAAAAAAATTACTTCCTCCCTAGGGTTTCTCTCATGCACTACTTCTAGAGTTAAGAGCAGTGGCGGCGGGTTTTCCTCCCTAGGGTTTCTCTCTCACAAAGGAGTTCCTTCATCCCTCCTTTCTTCTTACCCCTCCCTTCCTCCTCTTGATCTCCTCCTTCATCTTGTCGCTGTCTTGCTTTGGAAACTCCAACCCAAGGGACCACAAGGCAACAACATATTTGGGTTTTCTAGAGTTTACATTTGTTGATTTTTGAAGGCTGCAATTGGAATTGATCATGCTGGTGAAATAGGTTTCTCCTATTTAATGGGCAAGAATTTCGCTTTAGCGCATCTCCTCAGATGGGATCTTGGCAAAAGGCTAGAGATGCTGTTGGTAAAATCGAATATGGTCTGTGTGGGAAGCCTGCTATTCAAGCCGGTAAAGGGACTTTAGTTCTCTTATTGAGTTTCGACAGCATGAGTTTGCAGAGGATCGACAATGATGGGAACATGATTGCATGTATATGGAGGCGACTGGGGGCCTTGTGTTTGTCTAGAGAAGGCCCCTCTTGTTTGCTCTTCTTGAAGAATAAGTAGGGCAACTTGTGGGTTGGGGACTGTTTGTTGCCGGAATCCCTTGCTCTCTCCCGAAGAAGTTGGTTAAATAGGTGAGGATATCCAGTAGTTCTTAATGCTCATAATGACTCCCCTTTCTACATATATTTCTCTATTTTCCATAAAAAAAAAAAAAAAGAAGATGATATTCATTTACACAAAATTTTGCCGTGGATTGAAAACATGAATATCAAAAAGTGAGGAAAATCCAGAAAAATAGAGAAGCGAGAGAGAAAAAAAGTTAGTAGATAGAGGAGTAAGATTACAAGAAATGAGAGGAGAACAAATAAAAAAAATAATAACGATGTTTCTATTTAGCAAAAATCACTAATTAAAAGGAACATGAAAAGAAAATCATGGATCTTGAGAATGGTTTTGAAAAATTAAAACAGGAACTAAAGCGGAAATATGCCTTTTATATTTTCATTTAAAACGAAAGAAACTAATAAAAATAGAAGAGTTCACAAACAAGAAAAAAAAAAGAAAAAGAAAATTATAAAATCTATCATATGTTGTGAAGCTTATAGCTTTGATGCCAAATAAAAAATTTAAAGCATGGGAAAAGAGAGAATGAAAAATTGAAAACAGGGCAAAAGTCTTATTATTTAGAGATTATGAAAGTTATTATATAAGAAACTTTTATATACGCTTTGAAGTAAACCTTAAATATAATTCACCATATTTAAATTATAACAAATTCAATGATCAATCACTTAATATAATTGATTCCTTATTCTTTAATTTCTTTAACACAAAACTTTATGCTCTTTTTGTTTATTTTTAATAGATTTAATTTGATTTTTTAACGTTTTTATTTTTAAGACATGAATTTTAAATAAAAATTTAACAATTTATATAAACAATAATTAAAATTTTTTTTGATTAAATAAAAAATACTTAGCAAGAACATATGTAAGGACAAAAAAATTTTAATTGTTGTTCATATATATCATTAAATTTTCATCTAAAATTTATATTTTAAAAGTCAAAAAGTTAAAAAATAATCTAAATTTATTAAAAATAAATTGAGGATGTACTTAAAATTATTTTGATTATAGGATTTCTGGTAACGGTAAGTGATTTTGTCCAAACCATAAATGATAGGTATTTGGTAAGTTTATTTATTTTGAAGCCACTACAAACTAGGTATTTATTAAAATTATTTATTTAGCGTTTTAAACTAATAAATAGTGGTTAAAGTCCAAACTGTAAGCAGATTGAAAAAATATTTAAAGTAGTTTTTTTTATTAAACTGCTAGTGGATTAAAATTTTTTAATTTTGTTGACAAATTTATTCATTTTAATTTTTTAATCTTTAGCCACAATTTTGAATTAATATTTGTTTACTTAGTTTCAACTTTATTTTTTTGTCTTTAATAATATTAAGTAATTGTTATATTTTTACTTTTACATTAACTTATCATAAAAAATATATTAACTTAATAAACAAAATTTGCTAATTAGACAAAAAATTAAATTTTTTTGTACTTTATTTAAAAATAACATAATTGTTTCTTTTTTTTCTTATTTAATAATTTCTTCTTTGTTAAAAATAGAAATTAGTGTGACTATACTATTACAATTTATTTTATTTATTTGTTTTCTTATTATTATATTTATAAAATTAATAATTTTCATAATAAAAAATATATAAAAAATATACTTAATTATTTTTAAATATATATTTATTAATTATTTAATATTAAACAACTATTCATTATTATATAACTAAATAATTATATTAATTAAATTCACTATATACTATCTATTATCCACTAATTACCATTTATTATTTACTATTTACTAACTACCATCCACAACTCACTATTTACTGATTATTATCTATCACCCGTTATCATTATTTACCATTCACTGTCCATCACGTACCAACCACTAAATTCTAATGGCCATAATCTTAGCCCGTAGTTTGGCAAGAAATTGTGATCATATATATTGGGCGAAAAAAAGATAAGAAATTGTGAGTTGGCAACTACTAGACACGTGGACACTGATATGGAGAAGATGTTTGTATGGCCACCCAACGTGGCAACCAAGGGACTGAACACTCCACCCTTCGCTCCTACTTAAACGGGAACAGTATTTTCTACATAGACATCAACCCAAATCCCAAAATGGTGGTGACACAAAAATTCAGCAGAAGAAGAGGAAGAAGAAGATGATGATGATGACGAAAAGGAAGCACCTCTCCTCCGTTGCTAATGATGTTATTCATCAATGCGCAGAGTATACCTCTATAATTCATTATGATACACTTCAACAATTTTTTGTTATGATTCATGACTCTTGTTTTTAGATAAGTTTTAGATTGACATTAGAGATTTTTGTAACATTGGAGTTGAATTTCAGGGTAGAGTTTTCTGGGGTTATTTTGAAACAAAAATGGCCAAATGGGAATTGGGAGAAATTTTGGAACACGAGGGATGTATACAATTGGGATTGCGTAATTCATTGAGGCTTTTCATTAAACACTAGGGTTGCAGGGAGTATTTGGATTATTTTTTTGATGGTAAACGGGGAATACATTCAAGACAAAGAATTAAATTAAGGGAAGAGTACTAATGGAGGATAATTCTGTGAGTTGGAAAGAAGATATGGATGCATTTATGTTTGATTTAAATTATGTTTTTTGTAGTTAATTCTTTTGTCATTGGAGTCATAGTTGGAGATAAAATGCTCTTTTTTATGCTAAATTCTGAAAGGAAATTGGACACTTCTGTGGATAAATTGGTGAGGGAATTTGAAGCAGAATGGATGCCTGAAACAGGAGATTACTCCAGGAAGTTGGTGGAATTTTTCGGTTCAAAGGCTCTGATCACTGATGTGTGTCGAAATGTGGAAGAAAAGATTAGCGACCCATATGGATCATTTAGCAAGTTCACATTTGACATGATGCTTGCCTGGGAGAAGCCTACCTCTGAGGATGAGAATACTCATACTGTGAGCACATTTTTACCTTCGCCTATACTTTGAAAATCATGTATGCTTCAATTCTGCAGCTTCCTCTTCTTTTGCCTAAGTTTGATTTTGGAAAATATGATGATATCAATATGGAGAAAACCCTAAAATAGAGATTGCATTTTTGGTGGAAATTAAATGCCATTTATCTGTTAATTAATATTTTCACTGTGTTTGTTGTTATGTCTGGTTCGAAGGAGAGTATTGCAAAGGAAAAGGAAGATATAAAGAAACTTACAGGAGTCAGTAATGAGCAAGCTGACATCCCCCTCTTTTACTCGGACCTGATGCCACTCCTAGTAAGGAAATTTGTTTCCAATGTCCTTTTAATTCAAAGAATTAGTTTACAATTTATATAGCCTTGAGGGATTTCTTAATTTGGTTAGTTGGTTAAGTTAATTTCTTGCAATGACTCCCTTAGCTATATCTTCAGAAAGTTTTCTTAGGACTCTAGATTCATGTAATTTATTTGTAGGTTGATGAAGGACCAAGTGTTGGAGAAGATGCTTTTGTGTGGTTGGCGTCGTTAGTTCCATTAATTGCTGATGTTGTTAATGCAAGATTCACATTTGAGACTCTAACAGCACCAACAGGCAACCAGCTCCATTTTCCTGCATATGATAAATACCTAAAAGAAATTGACCAGTATGGATCTAAACCTGCTTGAAAGAACTTTTTAAATATTATTATTGTTGGATGTTTGAAAGAATTATAGTCATGGTGGACGGGAACTGTTTCACTTGAGATGTCTGACAGAAGTTGGTTATGTATTGCATAATGAGAGGTCATTGAACTGACATGGTATTGACTGAACCTACATTTTGGCTGGAGCCAACTTCCATTTCACATAGTTGGACTAGAATGAAACACACAACTTTGGGACTTTAATCCTCCAAGCTTTGTGTTTATAATCCAAACTTTTTGTCAAACTTTCCATTTCAGGATAGGATGACAGGATGAACAATCATTCCTTTGGAATTTGGGGAAAATATTTGATCACTGGCTTGGTGTTTACAATTATGCAATAATGTAACAGGAACAGTTTCTTGAGTGAACCAGCAATTCACAAACTTACATAACTTGTTTGTAGTTTCTAAAGGGCAATATCATTGATTTCTTTGCATGATTCATATGAGCTTCCAAGTAGCCAATCTCTTTGCATGATTCATATGAGCTTCCAAGTAGATATTTAACTCCCTACCCCTATTTTCCTACTGAAATTTTTTTTTATAGAAGCATAAAGAATCTGAAGAAACAAAGTAAGCCAAAAGGCATGGAGCTAGCTGATGATGAATTTATATTGCATAAGGAGGGTACTGCTAGCACACAGAGAGTAGTGCGCCATATTGGAGGATCAAGTTGGCCTGGTTTGTGTTAAATTTTCCTTTTTGTTCTGAATAGAAGCCAAATTTCAATACTAAAATTTTACATTACTTGCAATCATTTGTCAAATTTAAGTTGCTACATGGAATATACATAACCTGGATGTAACTTTTCTAGGTAGGCTTACGCTGACCAACTATGCTTTATACTTTGAGACCTCTGGAGTAATAACATATGATGATGCTCTTAAGATTGACCTCTCAAAGAACATTGATCACAGTGTGAAACCAATTGCAACTGGTCCCTGGGGCGCCCCACTATTTGATAAGGCGATAATGTACGAGTCCCTTGAATTGTAAGAACCCCTGCTGGCATATTAATTAAAGTTTGTAATATCATTATCTTGATGTTATGTCAAAAGTATACAAACAAACACATAGGCAAATCCTAATGAAGTTCTTGATGTCAGATTTTTCTCTTAAATGCTAGATAGGTGGTATAATATGTGTATCAAATTGTGAACTTCGTTCTTGAACACCCTCACATGTGGTTAGAATTCTGTTAGATAGTTAACATCTTTTTATCAGTTTTGTTAGAATTGGAGTGACTGAATATTTGGTAGTGAAAATAGCAGGTCAGTCTGAACAGTTTTTTTTTCCCCCTTTCCCTAATATAATGGAATTTTTGCAATTGGAGGGAGAGGACTATGATGGTGGTTCATCCACTGGAATTGGATGACCACTATACCCAAGGGCTGGGTTCAATCAACTTGTGTTGATTGATTACAGAGATACATAGGTGCATCCTATGACAAACAGGCAATAGCAGGAATACATTATGTTGTTGATAATTGGATTGATCTCTTGTTCTTTTTTCTTTTTTTTTTAGATCTGAAGGAGTTATTCTGGAGTTTCCCGAGATAACAGGGTCCACAAGGCGTGATCATTGGCTGGCTCTTGTGAGGGAAGTTATATCAATGCATCAGTTTTTGTCAAAATGTAACTTGGAATCCTCATCACAAGCATGGGAGATGCATGCAAGGACCATATTAGGGATTATAAGGCTCCATGCAGCAAGAGAAATGCTAAGAATTTCAATCCCTATACCCACAAAATTCTTAATTTTTTCTTTATGTGATGAGTTACCAAAGGGAGACTTTGTACTGGAAGAGCTTGCTGAGAGTCTAAAGGGAGTGAATAGCAGACATCCATGTAGTGCAAGCTCAATACTAAGGAGTATGAACGCTTCTGTGGCAATAGTTTCAAGTAAAGAAGTGGATGAGGCGCACAGAACGAGTATTCATGATCACGATGACAATCACACTTCATTAGAGACTGCCATTGACCAAGCAAGGAAAGAAGTAAGGGAAATTAAGGATGCGAAAGCTAGTACTGAGGGGTTGAAAGAGGAAGGTATCAGTACAAATGTTCTCGTTCTTAAGGTAATTTTTCTCTCTTTCATCATGCCTTCCATTCCTTGTTTTTATAGTAGGTAATTTAAGTGTTCAAAATCAATGAGTATGAATAACTTGCTTTGTGTACTGTTTTGACTGAATATTGAAAAGTGTTCCTTCCATGAAACACTAGATGTAAGAACCTCATGAGTATTATTGATTATTAAACTTTGGTTTTCCGACATAGGAACTACTGGAGCCACTTAGAAGTGTGTTCTTGTGGTTTCAAGAAATTGTAGAATGGGGAAAACCAGCAAATACCCTTCTTGCGATAGCCACAACTCTTCTAATTATCTACAAGTAAGTTGCTACTAAAAGAAATTGTAAGTGGCTAAGTATTAGCTTTGATATTTGACAAAATTTATGCATTTTCTTTTAAAATGAAGAAAAGCATTGTTTTGTGATACAGAGAATGGGTAGGCAAGGCAATGTCTCTTAGCTTGCTGCTGGTTGTAGCAAAGATGCTTCAAGCCAAAAGAAAAAGGATTCACAACAAATTGAATGAAATTGTTGTATGCGCTGCCTCTAACCAGACAACAAGAG